AGAGCTTGTTTTTATTTAGAATATTTATATAAAGTAGTGTTCTGGAAATTTGAACATATTGTTTCAAATATTTGTTCTGAAATCTCACCTCTCATGAACACAGAAAGTGTAAACTAGAGAGACATTGGACTATAACCCCCAGAATCCCCCCACTAGGTCCAGTACTTTTGTTCTACAGAGTGCTTTAGAGCTATGGTTCAAAAAGACACTTATGCTATAGTTCTAGAGGGATTTAGGGCTGATGCAGATGGCTTATTTGGGACAGCTCTGGGCAGCCCCTGGGAGCTGCGGATTGGGGCTGCAGCAACCACACTGCACAGCCCTGATTCTCCTTTTTGCTGCCCCCCAAAGAATGGCAAAATGCTGCTCCATTTAGGGGTGGTAAAAGGCTGCCCTTAGAGCTGTGGTGGCAGCTCTTCTGTGCCCTTTTGGGCATGGTGTCAAGAGGGCACCCTGACACCATGCACCGTGCATACAGGCATGCAGCATTGGGGCGGAGTTGAAGCGGACTTGGAGCAGAATCAGGGTGGCCTGCGTGCAGTTGCCCTGCCCCAACTACACCCCCAGGCCAGCCTATAGTACCAGTCAACATTGGTCTTAAGTGGTATAAATTTATACTGCTCCAGAGCAAATGACATTGTTAGTCCTCCTAAGAGGTTTCCCAGGAAAGCATGCAAATGCAGGTAGATAAATAGGTACCACTTTGGTAGGAAGGTAATAGCGTTCTGTGCAATCATGCTGACTACATGATCACAGAGTAGTCTCTGACAATCCTGGCTCTTTGGCTTAGTAACAGAGATGAGCACCACCCCCTATGGTTAGACATGACTTGACAACTTTGTCAGTGGGGAGTACCTTTACCTTTTATTAAAGATTAACTATATGATGTGGATCCTCCTCCCCTTTTGTGCTGGGGTGGAAGCAGATACATCCTTACAAAAGGAGGAAATGGAACATTGGTTTGTCTTTATTGTCATCAAAATCACCATGTTACAGGTAATGCTGTTATTCATAAGATATTGGCCAATGGAGGAGATGATGTAGCATACAGTTTTGTCCAGGTGAAAATACCTGCAGGACTCACTTTGCTTTTGGGCCCCCATGGCAATTTAGTAGAAAGGGGAGGATGGTGGAAGAGTGTTTGGCTGTGTACCCAAACAAAAATGCATCAGTGATACCTTTATTGGCCAACCAAAATGCACAATATAATTGTTGCAAGCTTTTGAAGCTCCATGGGCTTCTTCATCAGGCAAGATGTTACAAATCAAACAGGAGAAAAACAACTGCAGATGTTAGGGCCTTTACAATTGGAGATGTCAGGGCCTGTAAGACTGTCAGAAATAGTGCAAATTGAGGCTACTTTAACTGTCTTGGCTCAGTGCTAAGGAATCATGTGAACTGTAGTTTATTGTGGCACCAGAGCTCTCTGGCAGAGAAGGCTCAATGTCCCAGAAAAAAATACAACTCCCATGATTCCCTAGCACTGAGCCAGGACAGTTAAATACCTGGTGTTCATATGCATTTATGCATGCACACATAGTCCACTGGCTCCCGTATATGTAAATTTTTTCACATAACAGATTTGGCTTCAGTATCCTAGCCACTGTCTAGTTCAGGGGTAGGCAACCTTTCCCCTTTAAGGGCCGAGGGACTTCAGCTCCCAGAATCCCAGAAGCTATTGGCCAACATGGGACTATTGGCCAACATGGCTGAGGCTTCTGGGAGCTGAAGTCCCTCGGCCCTTAAAGGGGAAAGGTTGCCTACCCCTGGTCTAGTTTCTACAGGGTCATCAGTTATAAAAATAGCTAGAGAGCAGAGTTTGGATAAATGAATCCTAATAAGTCACCTTTGGAAAATTAGTGGATGAGGCTTGCTTCAGTTTGTGGCAAATTGCCTGACATTTCCAAAGTATGTGGTTTGAGCCAAATTGTAGCATCTGCTCTATAGGCATCTGCTTGAAATACACTTTATGTTGGGTTATCACAGAATCAATTAAAGTGAGAAGGACTGACATACAGCATATTTTACTCAGGACTAGAAACTTCATGTCACCATCTCTAGTAACTTTAAGCTCTGTTAATGAATTGATTTTTAATGGTCATTTATGCTGCTTTGCTATACAGACACAATATGGCTGCTGTCCACAAAGTGAGCTTCAGGCTCTTAACATTTGATGGGCCTGACTAGCCCATTTTTATTCATTACCACCATTGGTGGAATCCAAGTGGGTCATGAACCTAATATTTGTTCAGCATTTTCCTTTAAAATATATTTCTGGTTTGTACCCAGGGATGATATTGTTCTAGCAGAAAAAAATTCCGCTCATGAAAGGCAGGGCACTCTGGTACCAGTTTTCCCTGTTCCCTACAGTATCTTCAGCTCTTGGTGGCTTGAGCATTCTTAGGAAGAGAATAAACTACAGCAAAAAGAGCTGCAGACAAAGAGATCTCAAAAATGGCAAAAATGAAAAGATCTCAGATTCTTTTTGCTACTACAAAGTCACAATTCAGTACACTCCATTAAATGGAAACTGCCACTGATGTGCACAAGCTGTTGCTATATGGATTCGCTTTTAACATGTCCAGCTTCAAAACTTCTTTTGAATTTAACAACTGACTTAGGAGTGTCTGAGACTGTAGAACCACTGAAACTAAGGGCCTGTGCAGACTGCTAGAAATAGAGTCCACTTTAAGGGTTAGTGCTAGGGAATCATGGGAACTGTATTTTATTGTGGCACCAGAACTCTCTGACAGAGAAGGCTCAATGTCTCAGAAAAAAACAACAATCCCCATGATTCCTTAGCACTAACCCTAACCCTAAAAGTGGACTCAATTTGCACTATTTCTGGCAGTCTGCAAAGGCCCTACGTAGCTGTGGTTTTCACTGCAAAGGAAATGGCTGCATCTGTCATCTTTTTCATTTTGTTCTAATCTTGAATTGATTCCATTATGCTTCCATATCACTTTGTGAAAAATTTAAAATAGCATAAAAATGTGTGTGCATTTTTGTGTGCATTTTTCCCAATATACATATTGCTGTACATAATTTTGCCTGATAAATACAAGCAGTTTTGTTTAATACAATAGTGTTAGCTATGTCTCTTTTCACTAATAAATAGCTGAGGTCCTGCATTGGTGGACATAGCTACCTGGTAAAACAATAAGAAAATTAAAAATCAGCAGAGATCATCAATATTAGTAACAAAGAAAATTATTTTTATTTCATCTCCACAATATCAAATAGACATAAAGCACCCATTCTCTTAAAAAGAATGTGTGTGTGTGTGTGTGTGTGGAAGGGAGGAGCAACTAGGATTCAATTAACAGGCATGAAATCATTTTCCGAGCTCTGGGCTGCATCTGTACTGCAGAAATATTCCTGTTTCACACCACTTTAACTGTCATGGCTCAATGCTAGGGAATCTTGGGAATTATAGTTTCTTGAGGCACCAGAACTCTCTGAAACAGAAGGCTCATAAAACTACAAATCTCCATACTCCATAGCACTGAGCCATGCCAATTAAAGTGGTGTCAAACTACATTATTTCTGGAGTCCTGGTTATTAGTTTCAGTTTCAGTCTCTGCTTCTACCATATCACAGTTACCGTGGACTTCTAAAAACCAAAAGGTTTTAAAAGAAGCTTCTCTACTCTTTCACATGTCAGTGTTCTTGATTTAGTGTGTTTCCAAACATAGAGCAGATTCTTTCAGTGCCCCCCTAAAGGAAGAAAAGCATCTTGCTCTTGCATTGGAGAGTTCAGTCTGTAACCTAGGATTTGATTGTCCTCATTCAGAATATTCTGATACTGTAAGTAAGTAGTTTTAAAAAAACATTTGGAGAATATATGAGCACCTTGTCTTAAAGATTTTATTCATCATGCTAAAATAAATAATAAAATAAAGCATTCTATAATTGATTTTCTTTCTTTCTTCAATTTTTCCAATTTTTTAGAAAAAACAAAACAAACAAGGCTTCAGGAAAAAGCTGGAAAAAAAAATACATTTCTCCCCCAAATTTTTCCAGGTTTTGTTTTCTGGGCCTTCCCATCTCTAGTCTAAACCACATTTTATGAACTTCTTTGCAAGAATATCATGGGGGAATTTGTCAAAGGCTTTATTGAAATCAAGATATATTGTTCTCTTTATTAAGCTTGTAACACTATCAAAAAAGAGAGATAAGATTAGATAAGAGATAAAATTAGTCCGGTGTAACTTGTTTTTGAGAAATCCACACTGACTTTTAGTAATCATTGCATTCCTTTTTAAGTGCTTACAGACTGTTTCATGATCTGCTCTAGAATTTTTCCTGATATTGACGTCAGGCTGACTGCGGGGTAATGATTCTGATTCTCATGTCTTCCCCTTTTGAAGATAAGGACAAAATTTGCCCTCCTCCAGGATGCTGAGACTTCTCCTGTTTGGCAGGAATTTCTCAATCGCCAGTGGTTCTGCTACTTCTGTTAATATCCTTGGATTCATCTGAGTGCAATTAATTTAGAGTAGTCAGGTATTCCTGTACTACCTCTTTACCTATTCTGTGCTCCATTTCCCACACTGTGGGAAATGCTCCATTTTCCCTAGGTCAAACACTGTTTTCCTTTTAGGAGAAGACTGTGGAAATGTTGAGTACTTCTGCATTTCTCTGTCTCCTGTTAGCATCTTCTCCACACAGTATGCCTGCCATTTCTTTGTTCTTCCTTTTGTTACACACATAATCAAGAAAGTCCCTTTTATTATTTTTAACTTCTCTAGCAAGCTTGAGCTTGTTCTACATTTTAGGTTTTCTGATTTTCTCCCTACACAAGCTGGATATTTGTTTGAATTTGTCTTTGATGATTTCTTGCACACAGTTGCTGTTGTGTGCCTTTAAGTCATTTCCAACTTACAGCAACTCTAAGGTGAACCTATTATGGGGTTTTCTTGGCAGGTTTCTTGGGTTGCCATTGTCTTCTCTAAGGCTGAGAAAGTGTGACTTGTCCAAGGTCACCCAGTGGGTTTACGTGTCTAAGCTGGGATTCAAGCCCTGGTCTCCAGAGTCATAGTCCAATGCTGAAACCACTACACCACGTTGACTCACATATCTTGTACATGTAGTGGTTGTTGTTGCTGTGTGTCTTCAAGTCATTTCTGACTTATGGTGACCATAAAGTGACTCTATAATGATGTTTTTTTGGCAAATTTCTTCAGTGGGGGTTTGCCATTGCCTTTCCCTGAGGATTAGAGGGTATGATATGCCCATGGTAATATCTATTTTAAATCTTAGCTCAGTTGAAACTTCTTTAGATGAGACCTCTGGGTCACTGGAGAACTGGATATCCATCTCCATGAGACTTCGATGGAGAAGCAGTGCATACTGTAGATTGGCAATAAATTCTTTCCTGCTAAGGAGAGATCACCAGGATCATCCACATTGCCCTGAATTCCCTCTAGGATGAATAGACATGAGGGGGCAGAGAGTATGGAATCCATCTTGCTGGACTGAAGAGTGCAGCTAAAGCTCAGACACAACTTATTTCAATTAAAATATCAAATTTTGCTTGCAAAAATTTGCTTTGCTTGTACAAGGCACTGTGACATCTATAAGTCATGATACTACTAGAAAGCAGGGAGCACAATAAACTTTAAATGTGTACAGGTTGAATTTGCTGGCAGAAATAAGTCTTTTCATTGATTGTACAGGGGAAAAAAGGTAAAAACAATTTCTTTACATAATCCATTGAGTGAGTGGTAAATATTTTAGTGGGCACATCTTCCCCATTGATCAAGAAGTGATAAAATATTATGTACACATAAGATGTAATTATTTAAGCTGAGAGGCATTTCTCAACATCGATCAGATCTTGCTACATACTTCTGAAGATAAAGACAGTTGCAGAATTAAAAACTGCTAAAAGAATGATGGAGTAAGAATATAGGAAATATCCTGAACTGCTTCATCTATGGCATCTTTCATTCTTGAACTAAATAACATTTTATTTATTTATTTATTTATTTAGCTTTTTCTATAAAAGGCTTTTAAACAAACAATCTCAGGAGGAAGCTTCTATACAACATTAAGACATCCATACTTAAAGACCATTTGTTTATTTCATTTTAATAGGGATGCAATTCTTTGCTAATTTTCTTCTTAGCAGAAGCAATAAGTAATTTTAGCAACATCCTTCCCACTGTGAGGAAAGTCTTTGAAAATTGTGCATTTTTTGAGAACTTTTCGCAGTTCAAGCATTATTCTGCGCAAAATTCAAAAGTTGCATTTTGTACAGAAATCAGTTTTTCTGTGTAGAAAAATAACAGTACTCTGCAGAAATATGATTTTTTTTGTAAAAATGCTGTTTCATGTGTACAATATACTGTAGTTTGGGACTTCATTTGCATAAAATTTGCATATATAAAATTTAACATTTACTGAGCAGGTACAGGTTGGAATTTTCTTATTTAAAATGTTTGGGACCAGAAGTGTTTGGGATTTCAGATTGTTCTGGATTTTTGGAATATTTGCATATACATATTGATATATCATGGATATGGGATCCAAGACTAAACATGAAATTCATTTATGTTTCATATACAACTTATACACATATCCTGGAGGCAATTTTTGTAACATTATTTTTAGTAATGTTATGCATGAAACAAAGTTTGTGTCCACTGAACCATCAAAAGGCAAAGGAGTCACCATCTCAGCTACCAATGAAAAAATGTTTTGAATTTTGGAGTATTCCACACATGGGATATTCAATCTGTAACAACAGTTTCTTTGCAGAAAAAACAATACTATGTTTTGTGCAAAATGTTGATGATTATATGAACATTTTTGTCATCCTCTTAGGGTTTCTCAATACTCAAGTAACACTTTTTAAAAACCATTTTGTGAACACTTCTGAATAATCTTTCTATTTCTATATTTTAGGTATTCTCACTAAAATACTATAAAGGTTACACTATGATAGTTTTATATATATTCACTTTGCTTACAGTTGCACTGCATCAACAGTTTTGTAGCATTAATAAACAGGCATATGTATGCAACCTTAATAATATAACATGTCATGGAATCACTTTTGTGGATTTAATACATGTACACAAGAACAGCATTGTTGGGGGGGGGGAACAACATGTAATGGTGTAAAGAACTGAGATCATATTCTCCTGAAAGCGAAAGCTTAAAAAGCCAAATAATTTCTTCAAAATGGAAAAAAAGAATGTGAGTAATTATAAATAAACAAATTGGAATGTGAGGAGAATAGAATGGAATTGCCTAATTAAAGATTTAATGAGAAGATAAATAAGTGGCATTTTTGTTTTCTGCCATTGCCAGCTGGTTGTCTGCTAATTTGATTGGAAGTTAAGACTTATAAAACAAAATAAAAGTAAAACAATTAAAAAATAAATTTATTGGATTGTGTGGGATTTGAAGAATTGAAACATTGAAATATTAAAGAACAAACACAGAGAAAAATATAATAAACTGCATGTGGCAGTTTGAGACATAACATAGATTAGAAGTTGGCAGATGTTTGAAAGTAAAAAGACAGAGAGAGCGAGAGAGAGAGAAAGAGAGAGAACTGAAACAGTTTTAAGTTGGAAGATACAATCTGTACATCCATCAGATGAAGCGTATGCATGCTTAAGAAGAGTAAACTCACAAGAGAATTTTGAGGCTCATAATAAAGAAATGCAAAAAGAGAAATATGGTTCCACTGACACATTGCAAAAAGCCAGAGCTAATGCCTAAAGCTCTAGGCACCCAGCCAGATAATGGACATATCAAAGGGGATGAAATGAAAACATGATTCTTGTAGATGCTAACAGAAAATCAAGTCAAAAGCAATGAAGCTTTAAAGAGATGATCATTACAAATAATGGAACAGTATCATAGACAATAACTAATAAAATTATGGATGAAGAGACTCGGGAGCTGGGAAGAGACTCGGGAGCTGGGTGGTGAGCCTCCTCACCCGCCCCCTCCTCCCTCGGAACACCTGGCCTCATG